TTTCTTTTTCACTAGTTTTCTTTCTTTCTTTTTTGATTTTTCTTTCCTCTTCTTTCTCTCTTTTTCTTTCTTTGTTTTTTGTTTTTTCTTTTCCCTCCTTTCTTTGTTTCCTTCTTTCTTTTATTCTTTCACGCATACTCTCGTTTTCTTTATATTTATTTGTCTCATACTGTCTATTTCTGGAAAGCTATGTTTCTCGCTTTAGCATATATTTATTCATCCCCCACCCCTTACAATTTCATGGTCTTTTCCTCTCGATATATGTTATTTATTCTTTCTCTTGTCGGCTAATATTACCGTTTTCCTATTGTCTTTTACACACACACACACACACACACACATATATATATATCATTGAGATATGGTACTAAAACCTCTCTTTTTCATTTTACTGACTCCTACTTCTCTTCTCTCCCATTCTTTTCAAATAAAAAAAAGTACATATTATCCACCATATTGAAATTTAATGGCGGAAAGATTCACATCCGCTGCTCAGTAAAAGCACTCGCCGGGAAAAAGAAGAGTTAACTTCTAATAAAGTTGACAGAAAAGACTAGACAAGACTAGTACGACCTTGCAGGATTTCGGGTAAATTTGAGAATGTCACCTCCAGTTGGTTTCTATCCGATATGGTATAAGCAACAAGACGCTGGTATACGCATGTGCGGTTTGCCACCTTAGCTTCCGGTTTCAGAGCAATGATGATAATGACGACGATAACAATGATGATGATAATGCTGATGCTGATAATAAATGTTTTATATAGTGTAGAATATATAAATACAAAATTAAATTACAATAAAATGTTAACAAACATAACACACATGCAAAATATCCGAAAATAGAAAAAGAAAGAAAGCTGTAATATTAAGAGAAGATAAGAAGGTTAATAAGAGAGAAGGAAAAAGAAAAGAAGAAAGAGAAATAAAGAAAAAGTTTTTTCCCTTCTTTCATCCTTTCTTTTTCTTTCTATATATTTTTCTTTCGTTCTTTCTTTCTTTCTTTCTTTCTTTCGTTCGTTCGTTCGTTCTTTCTTTCTTTCTTCTCTATATTATTTGTAAGAAAGAAAGAAAGAAAGAAGAAATAGAGAGGTGAGAGAAACAGATATAGTTTAAGAGATTAAATGTAGGAAAAAGAAAGTTGAAAACAGGAGAGAAATAAGACATGAACACAAGACAAAAAAGTATTTGAAAGAAAGAGACAATCGAAAAAAAAAGTTAGAGAAAAAGGAAAAAGTAACAATGAAGGAAGGGCGAGCAACCTCGATCCGACAGTAATTCATTTTTAAAATTCTATCGGACAAATTTTTATGATAAACTTCCGGTCATGCGCATCGTTCTTCAACGTTGTAGTTTGTATCCATTCATTTTTGCTTATCTTCTTTTATATGCTGCATCTCTTCAGGACATGGGAATTCATGGCTTTCCACAAATTACAATCACTTGTTACTTTAAGTAACATTTGAGTCCCTCCATCGTTTGTTTCTGCCCTTCCAATCACACGGTATTTACTCTGTCCCCCACTAAAACGAGATGTGACACAAGGTCTATTTTTAGGTGGGGGACCCGAGCGCGTACACCCGGGACAGGAACAAAAATTCCCCACAGCCCCCGTAACCGACAGTTGCGCTGGCCTTGTGCGAGCACCGATCCCTACCTCTGGTGCAATGGGAGGGCGCGGCCTCGGGCAGCTCTTCCCCAGGGCTGGGCACCTCTTCAGTATAATTTTCCCCAGTTGCCCCTCTGTCCTTTGACAGAGAAGCCCTTGAGCGCACTCTGTCCAAGGACAGAGACGCAACTGAGAGATAAGTAGATGTGTACCTACTCAAAAAGAGTAAGTTACACACCCTTCCAACCACACTGTTTCCCATTGCTTCTCCAGCTTTCAGTATGTCCTGTGAGTGTTTAGTTTTCCAAACACCCTTTCCTTATTATGTGTCCCGTAAATTTCAACTGGCTTGTTTCTAATTTTAAATATAAGTGTCTGTTTAGTTCTTTGTCTTATATGAGAGAGAGAGAGAGAGAGAGAGAGAGAGAGAGAGAGAGAGAGAGAGAGAGAGAGTCAACTGTGTGACAAATATAGGAATCTAAGATAAAGACTGTGCTATGTCCGTTCTGATTAAACTCCTGTCAGTTACAATATGTCAGTCTATAAATTTATTGATTCCTTCTTTTATGCCACGTTTTCTAAATGTTTCTGAAATTAGCGAATACAATTCTTAGTTTGATTTGTTTGAAGATGGTATTCTGATATGTCCCGGAAAGGGATATATTTGTTCGAAGTAGCAAGGTGGTTGTTGACTACTGTAACCGGGTAGGCCAGTCTAGCAGGTAACTGTAATGGACTGGTCCTCGTCGTAGTGGTAGGCAATAGGCGAAGGCAATAGGCGTAGTCCCTCTACCTCCACATCAGTCTGTATTTATGGCTGACACCAGCCAATCATATTACTGTAAGGGGGAACCCAGGTGGATGCATATTCATTACATCATATTCATAAGAATGAATTTACTTTAACCATCTTAAATATTGTTGCTAATTTTCCTTCATCCATTATTGGCTATTTTAAGGCAACCTAAAAAAATGAAAAACAAAAAGGTGAAACAATTCTTCTTCTTCTATATGTGCCGTGTGCTTTCAGGCCGTAGTCCGTCATGGTTGACCACAATTTTATGTGCTTTGTAGCTCTTAATAAATTTCTTCTTCTTGCTATATCTCTTCAACCTTGTTCCTCTATCCATTAACTCAATCTCGCCAGGTAGGTTATGCGTTATTTTCCCTCTCACCTTCAATCTGCCATGTGAGTATCAAATTTTTTTAACCCTCTATCCACATTATGCGCCCTAGAAATTTCAAATCTCTTCCTGATGTTAAGTATGAGTTTCCTTTTTGTTTCCATTTTCTCTAAGGATTCGTTATTGCTCACGCGTTCGGTCCATGGTATTCTCAGCATCCTTCTGTAGAACCACATTTCAGTTGCTTCAAATCTCTTCTTCTTCTGTCAAGAGATTGCTAGGAAGGAGGGCTTAGAAAATCTGAGACTCACAGGACAGATTGAAGGCAAGAGAGACAGAGGAAAATTCTGCATAACAGACCTGATAAGCTAAAGTAAATGGATGACGGGACAAGGTATAGGAGAAATAACGAAAACGCAAAAATTAAGAACTACAAAGAACAGGAAATTGTGGAGAGCCATGATTGCCTACGTCATGAGGGGACACGGTACAAAAAGATGTGCGATATAAGCCAATTTTAATAGGAATAAATTTAATAGGTATAAATTTAATAGATAATCAATTTAATAAATTTAATAGGTATAAATTTAATAGGTTTTAAATTTAATAGGTATAAAATTAATAGATATAAATTTAATAGGTAATCAATTTAATAAATTTAATAGGTATAAATTTAATAGGTATAAATTTAATAGGTAATAAATTTAATAAATTTAATAGGTATAAATTTTCACGAGAAATTTTACCAATATGCAGACAAAACTTGTCGTTCATCTAGTGTTTCAGATTCCCTCTGCTCATTTCCCGCCAACAGTATATCATGAATATGTCCAAGTTCCTCAGCAATGGTTAGCAAGTCAGTCTTGGGGATCATTCCTACTAAGTAACGAGGTATATCCTCACTGGGAGCTCTTCAAATTATGGCCTTATGCTAAACTAAGCTAAACATAGTAAACCACTGTTAGTGTTGGATCTTTTTCTTTTCGTGTTAAATTTTGAACATTTCGGGTGTGCTACATGGATATATATATATATATATATAGATAGATAGATAGATAGAGAGAGAGAGAGAGGGAGGCCGACACAGACAAAGCGAAAAGGAATGCGTGTGTGTGTTCGTGTGTGTGTCCGAAAGGGAGATAGATAGATAGATAGATAGATAGATAGATAGATAGATAGATAGATTAGGTTTAAGTAGAAGTTGAAGATGAACATATTTGAGAGCCAGAATTAGAGAGAGAGAGAGAGAGAGAGAGAGAGAGAGAGAGAAAGGGAGGCCGACACAGACAAAGCGAAAAGGAATGCGTGTGTGTGTATGTGTGTGTACGTTTGTGTGTTTGTGTGTTTGTGTGTTTGTGTGTGTGCCCGAGAGGGAGATAGATAGATAGATAGATAGATAGATAGATAGATAGATAGATTATGTTTAAGTAGAAGTTGAAGATGAACATATTTGAGAGCCAGAATGAGAGAGAGAGAGAGAGAGAGAGAGAGAGGGGGGAGAGGGAGAGAGAGTTTATTTAAAAGAGGAAGAGAAGATATGAAAAAAGAAGGAAAAGAGAGAAATATAAAAAGAAGGTCTGTGGGAGAGAAGGTAAATGAAAGGTAGAAGCAATTAATAAAAATAAGAGAACGAATCAGTGTGTATGTGTGTATGAATGAATGAGAAAGACTGAAAGGGAACTGCGTGAGAGCAAGAGAGAAAGACAGAGAGAGAGAGAGAGAGGGGGAGAGAAAGAAAGAGAGATAAACATCAAAAGGATATGTGTGACAAAGAGAGAAACAGAATGTGTGCACGCGTCTGCGTGCGTGTGTGGGATCTCTGAAGTCAGGATCTTATCAACATGTCAACATTCTTGGGCTGGTTAGTGTAGAAAACTGACAATTATCATTGGGCAGTGACAGAAAGAAGAGAGCCTTCGTTACTCACTGGGGAGGTATACTTAGGGCTTGGCGCTAGCCCTGCCGACAGCGCGGGCTTGACGAGAAGAGGAAAAACGACGACAAAAAATTGCCAAAGCAAGAGAAAAAAATGCCATAAAAAATCGAGGTTGCCAGAATAGGTAAACAATATCGGTGGAAACACATGTAAGCACGCATTTATTTGGATTAATATTCACATGCGATCATATTTTCGAATACGATCAGATCAATGTTGCATTTGGACATTTTAGCCCTCTGAGAAACACTCTGCCTTTTTCTTTTTTGGTTTGTCTTCGTTTCCTAGGTTTATTATTTTCTCATGAACCTTTCAATCGTTCCTGGAATCTGATGTCAATTCTTCTTTTCTCTGGTTCTATTTGTTTTTTTAAAATCATTTACATCCAGATTTTCTTTATTTGTTCCTACAATCTTTCTTTCTTTATTTCTTTCTTTCTTTCTTTCTTTATTTCGATACTCGTTTTTTGTTTTTCTTTCTTTCTACACTTTTTCTTTCTAGACTAGTTCTTTCTTTCTTTCTTTCTTTCTTTCTTTCTTTCTTTCCATGTTATTCTTACTTTCGTTGTACACTATTTCTTTCGGCACCTTCTTTTTCTATCTAAACTATTTCTTTCTTTCTTTCTTTCTTTCTTTCTTTCTTTCTTTCTTTCTTTCTGTCTTTCTTTCTACACTCTTTATTTCGATACTCGTTTTTTGTTTTTCTTTCTTTCTACACTTTTTCTTTCTAGACTCGTTCTTTCTTTCTTTCTTTCTTTCTTTCTTTTTTCTTTCTATACTTTTCTTCCTTTCTTTCTTTCATTCTTTCTTTCTACAGTCTTTATTTCTATATTTTTTCTTTTTAGTTTTTCTATCTTTCTACACTTTTCTTTGTAGACTCTTTCTTTCTTTCTTTTTCTTTCCTTCTTTTTTCTTTCTACAATCTTTATTTCTATACTCTTTCTTTCTTTTTTATTTCTTTCTTTCTTTTTTTCTTTCTTTCTTTCTTTCTTTCTATACACTTTTTCTTTTTCTTTCTTTCTACAATCTTTCTTTTTTTTTCTACATTCTTTCTTTCTACACTCTTTATTTCTATACTCTTTTTCTGTTTTCTTTCTTTCTACACTTTGCCTTCTTTCTTTCTTTCTTTCTTTCTTTCTTTCTTTCTTTCTTTCTTTCTTTCTTTCAACACTCCGTCGTGGCCTGTGGCCATAACACGTTGAAACATCATTTCTCGTACGATCACCGAAGTTAGGATGCTTCGAGCATTGTCAGTACTCAGATGGGTGACCGCTTAGGAATACCAGGTGCTGGAATCTTGGACGTGGAAGTGATGTAATCTATAATGATTCGGAATTGGAAATCGCTGGTTTTAAATAAACTGTAAGAGGTTGATAGATCGTAAAAACAATATATCTATCTATCTATCTATCTATCTATCTATCTATCTATCTATCTATCTATCTATCTATCTATCACAGTCTGTCCATTATCTATCTATCTATCTATCTATCTATCTATCTATCTATCTATCTATCTATCTATCACAGTCTTTCCATTATCTATCTATCTATCTATCTATCTATCTATCTATCTATCTATCTATCTATCTATCTATCTATCACAGTCTTTTCATTATCTATCTATCTATCTATCTATCTATCTATCTATCTATCTATCTATCTATCTATCTAATTGTCTATGCGTTCTCTTTAACAAAGCAGGGAATATAACAAATAAAGAAGATAAAACTACATAAAACAAAACAACAAAAAAGGAAAACAAAAACAAAAAACAACAGCCACCCACAAAGTTACCAAAATCAAAATAAAACAGTATTATATAGTAAAATCTTTCCTAATCAGAGTCACGGAGCGGCATCTCCATTGCATGTGTTTGTGGTAGGGGTGGTGATAGCAAACGGCAAATATTCGCGTCACCAAACTTGACAGTCGCATGTTTGGTAACGCTTTGCATATTAGCGTCTTGCATTTTTCTGGCGCGTTACACCAAACCTCTTGACGAAGAAATGACGTCGCTCGCTCTCACCATCTCTCTCTATCCATCTCACTCTCTCTCTTACACACACACACACACACACACATATATATATTTCAACCAAAATTTTGTATATCTGTCTGTCTGTCTCTCTCTCTCTGTATATATATATATATATATATAGAAGATGCTGAATCAATAAATCCACATCCTGATATGAAAATAACGCTATTTTTTTATATGCAAATTTCTAACTGTATTTTTCGATCTGTGTGGTTAATATTCTCTAGTGAATTAAGTGCATTGACAAGGAAAAGGATTTTCTTGAAGAATGTATATTTGTTGTGTGCAATAAATATTTTTATTTCATCCTTATGCTATGAACTTATTGATGTACCTCCGTATCTATTCTTACACACACACACACACACACACACACACACACACACACACACACACACACACACACACACACACACACACACACACACACACACACACACAGACAGAGAGACATATATATATGTATATATATGCATGTAATATATATATATATATATATATATATATATATATATATATATATATATATATATATATATATATATATATATATATATATATGCACGCACTTGCATATACACACTATGTATGCGTACCTAAATACATATGTAAAGGTGCATATGTTTATAAGGCCGAGTATACAAGATTAGCCGGACGCCTCTATCGATAATAACCCGACTGGCAATTTCCATTTCTTTGGCGTATTTCTTCGGAATTTCTTTTTTTTTTTTTTCTTGTCGATAAGTTCAGGTCACGTGATCTTCCGTCAGAAACGACAGGAAGGGTTGACTTCAATTTGGGGAAACAAAACAAAGAAATCATTGAAGGAAACAGAAGGTCAAAAATAGAAAAAAAAAGCACAATAAAACAAAAAACAAAAACAAAAAAAACATCAGAAACACGAAAAAAAACAAAAAGGAAATAAAAATATCGATAAAAAGAAAGCAGGACAAGAAAAGGAATATAAAAAACGTGAATAAAAAAAATGAGGAAATCATGCGACTGTCTCCTGACTTTCTCAAAACGCGCGCACACACAAACACATGTACAAATATATATATTTATATACCCACACTCAAACACATACGCAGACACATAATAACGACATAAATATATAAATTTATAAACTTCACACATACGCACGCACGCAAACACATAATGACAACACAAAAATATACCTTATAAGCACACGCACGCAGACAAACACACACACACTGAGCGAAGAGAGAGAGAGAGAAAGAGAGAGAGGGAGAGAGAGAGGGGCGCCTACCTAAAAGGAAAGAAAAAAAATCAAATCAACAAAATCACTTCCTTGATTTGCTCTTGTAATAAAGATAAGTAAGATATTTATTGTCTGACTTTTTTTCTAATTTTCTTCTCATTCCTTGCAATGTTTTGTCAACTTCGCCGTTCTCTTGTCTCTCTTTCTGTCAAATTTTTTTTTCTCAACGCTCTCGTTCATCAGAACGTTTTTTCTACAGGTCCGATTTTCTCTCTTTCTCTCTCTGTCCTTCCTTTTTATATAGCTCTCCATCTCTGTCTCCTTCACCTTCTGTGTGTGTGTGTGTCTCTTTCTATTTGCTCTTCCTTCCTTCCTTCCTTCCTTCCTTCCTTCCTTCCTTCCTATCTATCTATCTATCTATCTATCTATCTATCTATCTATCTATCTATCTATCTATCTATCTATCTCTTTCTTCGTGGTCTTTTTTCGCATATGTGTATACCTCTTTATTTTTGTCCTTCCTTCTTTCCTATCTATCTATCTATCTATCTATCTATCTATCTATCTATCTATCTATCTATGACATGATGGCCATTATCTATCTATCTATCTATCTATCTATCTATCTATCTATCTATCTATCTATCTATCCCAATCTGTTCATCAGTATCTATCTATCTATCTATCTATCTATCTATCTATCTATCTATCTATCTATCTATCTATCTCAATCTGCTCATCAGTATCTATCTATCTATCTATCTATCTATCTATCTATCTATCTATCTATCTATCTATCTAATCGTCGTGTCTCTTTTGGTTTCTGTCTGTCTGTCTCTTGATCTATCGCACGCTATATCTCTTTAACTCCTCCCATTTTCTTTCTTTCTTTCTTCTTTTTACCTGTTAATTTCTTTCTTTGTCTATCTGTCTGATGTTAGCTTAACTTTATCTGTTGACGTGCAGGATACTCACGGCTGTCTCCAAACCACGCGGGCAAACCAAGCGCCACTCATTCCTTAGCAATCTCGTTGAATGAGTCAAATAAATGTCCCAAATTACTCGCTTCGCCCACCACTTGCCCTTGTACAACACGCGCCATTACAAAAACAGCTTTACTTATTTTTTTTGCCCTTAAAAAACGAAACTGTAACAAAAAAAACACAACAAAAAACAAAAAAAAACAAGAACAAAAAAAAAAAATGAAATTAAAAAGAAAAACTGTCATCGCAAACTGAACAAGAAAGAGATTGTCTGTATGCATTTTAGGCAATAAATAAATGTTTGGAAGTTGTTTGATGCATGTGTGGGTATTTTCTTGAAGAAATAATGTATAAGTGTGTGTATTTAGATAAATTTACAAAATTTCTTTGTAGATTGAGATGCGATAGAAACTTAACCCTGTCCAAGACAGATTATTTTTGAGTTGTAGAAGGTAGGGGAAGGGCCTTTTTTTTTTGTCCATCAAATTGAAAATGCCACTGAGTTCCAAATAATGGTCTACAATATCTGAAACTTTTCAGTATTATTCTTTTACCTTTTATCTTTTATTTCAACTTTTGGTCCCTCGATTTCATGAATTTAAGCGTTTGTTAGCTTGTTTTGTTTGTTTTACGGCCTATCACATCGAAAATTAATTTTATTTCTCCTAAATAAAGTCTTGTCAAAATATTTTTAAATAGTAAAACTGTTCTTAATTATGGTTATATTTTTTAAATAATATTTTTGAGATCACTTTATTTTAGAAACTGGAATATGTATAGTGGATCAGTATTTTGATTGGTTCGGTTTAGTTTGCTTTGTTTTACGGCATATCAACCTCAATGGGTCATTTAATACCGACAATGCTGGCAATATTTTTTTTCCAAACATTTATTGCTGGTAATAATTTTTCCAGAAATGTATTACTGGAATTAAAATCTCTTTTTACACTTTCATAGTGTTTTGACCCCAGTTTGGTAGTTAACTATTTGCCTATAGTTGGGACCACTAACAGGTGCTACCACCCCAGGTCAGGGTGAACCTGGGAACACCAGCAATTAAGAGTTGGTTCCACTCTCTTCAAAACACCCTGATCAGAGACCTTGCTGTCGGATGTATTTTATCGTCTTACCCAGGAAAACGTTCTTTTAAGTTTCTTGTTTGGTAGTCTTTTAAACGGATTGAACTAAAACTGTTGCAGTTTGTCAGTGTGTGTACTACGGTGAATGGCTCTTGGCATGGCATACATACCGAAGGTTCTTCCTTTTTTAGGATATAAGAATGGGTTGTGTTTGAATGTGCAACATGGAGTTTGGACATAATCACTTCTCTTCTAGAATTTAAACGTAGCACCAGATTTGCTGCTAGGTCTTGTAATTTCATTGTTGAAATTGTTAGTTGCAACCGTAGGTTCTATGCTAATAGTTTCTTCTCTCGCACTTCTCACCTGTGGAATTCTTTTCTGGCTTTCTGCTTCCTTGTCAACTACGATCTTCAAACATGTAAATGCAATGTCGATCGTCATCAGTCTCCTTGAATCCTGTTATTTTATTGCCTTTCCTGTTTCTGTAACGCTAAGTAATCCCTTGCATCTTAGTGGCTTTATTGCCTTGCTTTGGGTGAAATTCTTCTTCTTTTTACAGATTTTTTTTCGTTTTGTTTTTTGTTGCCATTATTTTTTTTCTAATTTTATTTTCATTCCCTTTTAGAACTAATGAATACACAAGAATGCAGGTTTTTACCCCCAAACGCGGTTGAATATCTTTGCATGGGGTTTTCCTAAAAACAAATGTACATCACCAAAGAGCAATAGTTTTTTTTTCTTCTTTATGTGCTGTGTCCCATCAGAACGTAGGTGATCATGGCTCTCCACAATTTCCTGTCCTTTCTAGCTCTTAATAAATTTTGTCTTTCCGTTATTTCTCCGAAACCGTGTTTAGCCATTCATTAGTTTTAAGCTCATCGAGCATGTGGCACTCTGTTTTCATGAGCTTAAATAAAGAATTCAATTAGCAGTTCAGAGGATAACTATCGAAATGCTTCAAAATGTGCTTCGCAAAGCTAAGTTTATATTTGAAATTAGCAGGGATACAGATTTTTTTAAGCATTCCACCCCAAGCAAGGCGGGAAGCCACTAGCGTGCGAGGGGTTACAGAGAGTTGGAGCGAAAGCAAATAGGGGTGATAGAGGAAAGGATGAAGAGAAGGATAAGGGATAGATCAAAGCATCTAGAGACGTCGATTGACATTACATTTGAATAGTTGGAGAAAACAGGAAGAGGAGAGGGAGTTTCCCAGGCGAGAGGTGTGAGACATGAATCTATTGGAATAGAAGAGACGGCTACATTTAACAGTTTCGACAGTGAAAGGATGAGAGCGAGATGCCAGCCTAGTAGAACGCATAAATTCATGAAGTTTGAGAACCAGCGAAAGCAACTCATCGGAGCAGTTACCGTGAAAGTATTTGTAAAAAAGACAGAGGGAGGCGACGGCACGTCTGTGAGTAAGCGACTGCTGATGAGATGCTAGATCAGGACCAAATACGTTGCATATCCGTCTCTGGATCTTATCAAGAACCTTGAGACAAACAGAAGGGGCACCAGATCATATATGGCAGCAATACCCCATGCAAGGACGAATGGTTGATTTGTAGATTTGAAGGATTGACTCCGGCGAGAAAAATTTCCTGGAGCACATATTGGAATTTTTCAATAATGTTTTGATAAATCTATTTGTTTTGTATCATAATTAACTAATAAGCATAGACTTATGTTAGTTTTTTTTTAATTGCCCGATTTCATTGAAATAGTTAATTTGGAGCTTCAAATAGAATATTTTATAAGCCTATTATTATTGCCAGATTGTTTTAAAAACCCACAATTATGATACCGATTTTTTTTATAAACCTGTAATTAATGCCTGATATTTTAGAAACGTTTGTTTAATACGGAATTTTTATTTAATTTTTCATAATTATTATTGGATTTTACGAAGAGCCTTAATGCATTAAATAACTGTTCTGTTTTGTTGATTGTTATCAATTTTACATAGTAAATATTTTCTTAGAGGTGTACCCATAAAATTTTTAGTTGTGTAGTGTCTGGTGAACACGGATTGTATTCAATGTTGCTTCTTCGCCCATCTCTTTTATTCGTTAGATTTTCTTCAAGATACCCTGTAACATCACCATGGCCAGGGTCATCTTCATCGAGGGTGTGGCCTAATTTCTTCTTCTTCTTCTTCTGATTTTTTCTCCTTTTTCTCCTTCTTCTTCTTCTTCTTCTTCTTTTACTGATTTTTTTCTCTTTTTCCTCCTCCTTCTGCTTCTCGTCTTCTTCTGATTTTTCTTCTTCCCCTTCTTCTGCTTCTCTTTTTTCTTCTTCTTCCCCTTCTTCTTCTGCTTCTTTCTCTTTTACTTCTGATTTTTTCTCCTTTCTTCTTCTTCTTCTTCTTCTTCTTCTTCTTCTTCTTCTTCTTCTTCTTCTTCTTCAACCATGCCTTTTTTTATTCGATAGATTTTCTTCAAGATACTCTGACACATCATCATAACCAGGGTCATCTTCATCGAGGCTGTGGTCTAAATTCTTCTTCTTCTTCTTCTTCTTCTTCTTCTTCTTCTTCTTCTTCTTCTTCGGCTTTTCCCCTCTCTCTTTCTCTAGGCACCATATCCTCAAGACAAATCAAAAGACCGGGCTCGTGATATTTTGTCTTGACGAGTTTCAAAAAAACTTTATACTTGTAATTATAAGTTCCTTAACATTTGTATTACAAATAATGAGGAAAGAGGGCTTAGAGAATTTAAAACTCATAGGTCATAGGTACTCCTGCGATATATGGGAATGATCTGCCCACTCATTAATATCCAGTCTCGATCTAGCCCAAAACCGTCTTCGATTTCTTGTGGGTGATGAATTATTCTCCAGCTTGCAACCATTTTCTTACGTACGAAACGTTGCAAGCCTCTCGCTACTCTGTTGGTATTTCCATGAAAAATGTTCAAATAGACTCCATCCCTAGTTCCACCAATTCTGACCTTCACGGCTAAGACGTGACATACCACGCTCATTGTAACGGATCACGCTCATTCCATTCGTATACCATTGGGAAGATATAAGTTCCACCCGGGCAGCTTCTTCTCACGAACCGTTGCTTTGTGAAAATGATTCCCAAGAAGATGCTTCCTCGAAACTGTCTAGTATATTCTTCACATATCCCCATAAACTGTACCGCTTATTCTGTAACCCATCACACCGAGTGGCGCTTTGTACAGGGTGAATATTATTGAAAAAAAATAATCATATTTTAGGTTTATAAAGAATCAAGTACTAATTCAGTCAGTCAGTTAAGCCCCATACGTGATACAAGCTTGGGTGAAAACTGAAAAGATTTCCCCGCAATAGACTACCGTTTCTGTGGTAGACTGAATGCCAACCAAGGCTATAAGTCTCAGGTTATCCTGTCATTCAACCTATAGTTTAGAAGAGATGGATACATACCGTTGCTAAGGGTATTTGTGCGTATATGAATGTATCGAATGTGATTGGTATTCGAACTCGGCTCTCCCGATTTCTCAACCCGAGTACAAAGGCACTAAATAAAGGATTCCGTTATTAATTGTAAAAAGAGTCGACCGTAGTCGGGATCATCGAGTCAATGCGAACGAAGCTTTTCATAGCTGCATAGTATGCACTTCGCCAAGGCTACATCCAGTTTTGAATTTAGGGTTTTCTTTCTCCTAGACCGGCTGCCAACCAAAGCTACAGAACATGCTATTTACCCAGGAGGGAGAAAAAATGATTCATATATTTCCACAATGGTATTGGGAAAGATATGAATCAGCATTAGCACGTAAGTAAATGAAA